ACGAACTGTCCCCCGAAATCAAATTCTTCTGGTTGGGAAGATGTAGTTCCGTGTAGCTTTGTCTCTCGTACTCTTATACCAATGAAAGATGTAGGTCTCATCGTCCAATGAAGAGCTGGTTAATAAGTAAATAACATCTATCAACTTCAAAGGAGCAGCATTTCACAAATTTCATTACCACATTTATGTCGTTTTATATGTGTAAGTCAAACAGAGAAGCAGGGAACATCTTTCTAGAGATGTTTGTTGGCGTTGGGTTTCCAAATTTAGGAAAGTCAGCCAGACAATTAACAGTTTACAGGAAACAAGCTTCCTGTAATTTTGATATATGGGATAGCTATAGCAGTGAGAGAGGTTTTTATAATAAATACGTATGGAGAATGAAAAGACAACGTCAGCAACCAACGACGTCTTCATCAAGACGAATATATTTTGCCCCAAATACCATGTATTTAATAAATCAGGCAAGCTATTGGCTGTGGATGTCGGTCGTTCATTCACATTCGTATGGTAGATGCATTATTCACTGTAACCAGATTGTCAATGAACTATAGCAACTCACGTGCAATTGAGTTTGTTCTCATCTAATTCGGTTAAGCCATTTCGTCAACTTATTTAGCGGACAGAGTCATCCGTAATATAACAACTTATTGTACCTTTATTATTGTAATGCTTGTATGGAATATGCATGCTTGAACACTGTTTACCGCCTATATATATGTACATTTGTTACTCTACACTCTTTGTTCGCTGACTCATTTGTTCGCCTCTCTGCTCTGCGGTCTGAATTATCTGCTAATAAAGCTTTAGTCGCTGCTTCTATTTGCCTTCTGATTTCAAACACCGTTGAGGATTATATGCTAACGGTTACGAGGGTGATTGGTTAACGAAGCACAGCCACTACAGACCCGTGAGCTCGATTTACTGCGGGATGCTCATCAATGAATAGTTCCGTCATTTGATAGATCAAATGAAGAGCATTCTTTCTTTACTGCTATCCGGAGCTGGAGTGTTTGTAGTAATCAAGTCATTACATGGGATGTTTGCAGTATGCATCGTCATGTGTTAAAGTAGTCAAAACTTCCCGGTTTGTATACGTTTTTACAACGTTGACTTGAAAGATATTGGTGAAACCTTCCCAGAGAACATTGTCCGGCTGATAGGCGAAACACTAATAAAACATGACGTAATCTGTTAGTCCCAGTGCTGTTTCTTCTGTACATGGGATCAGGAGAACATAGTTTCCCGGTTTACAGATATCATAGGAATTGACAGCAACGATAATTCCAATAAAGAAGAAATGATACTCTACAAGATAATCGCATTGATTGGGTCAATGAGGACGATATCAATAGCCTTTGGTTTTGCACCTTGAAAGACATCGGACACCATTGAAAGGGTTTTAGCTCTTTTCGTGATGTGTTTAGTCCATAAATATGATTTTCGATTTCACTTATATGTCAGTGACACTGAACAGGAAAACCCGACTATTTTCCATTATCTTGAGATCAATGTAAGAGAGAAAAATGGACTCGATCATTCAGGCTACATGCTCAACTACTTCTGCAGAGTGACACAAACTTCGCAGAAGCCACAAACAGGGTTATGGAAATATATAGTCTTAATTGGAAGTGCTCTGATTTACGTTGTGCATTTTATTTGTTTTTGAGAATTGACTATCTGTTGCATCCAAGGTCCCACGAATTTTCGAAAGGGGTTTTTAAGAAACTGATTATCGTAACAAGAAAACGTGAAACGGCTCTCTTTAGAGACACCTTACAAAATGAATTAATGGTCTTCCACTTTTATTGAAGCTAAAATTAAATATATGTATACTGATTTTTTATTGGTAAATGGGAATTGTTGTTGTCATCACAATCCGTTTAGTAATAGTACCGTGATTACTTGAAAGTTAAAAATAAATTAGATAAACCTCTTAATAAGTCACGAAATATCAACCGGATTTACGAAAGTTTAGTGTGACTGTTAGCAAAAATAACAGATTATAGGTGTGTTGCATCCTCAGAGCTTATTACTTATACCTGAAAAAACGAGGAACCATTGCAATAACCCACGACGTGAAGTAAGGACACAAAAACTGGTACAAGTGAAGATTTATGAACCACAAAATACGACGACGACTCTAGTCGGAAATACACTCGTTTATATATTGCTTTGTACATCCATTTTGTTTAATAATTAAGATGAAATCACATGTATGAAAAATAGCCAGAGTTATAACTAATCACATGCCACATGTCATGCTGAGCATAGTTTATGTTAATTTAATACATGAATATCGTATCTCTAATAGACACCACGCTAAAATAAATTAACGTTTTAACGAATGAAATATCATACTGAAAAACAAACATAAATATTATTAATATCAGGAGGGGTTTTTGTGGATATTATAGTAATTTTAATAGTTGAGATCATGAGTTATTTGAAGCTAGACCATCGTGGAAAACCTGGAAGAACTGGACGGTCGTTCCGTCTTATTGTGGGACTCCTCAGCAGTGTGCATCCAGTGCACACACATAATCAACATAAAACATGGTTCTATTTTAATTGTGATATATGTTGCATACGTTTTGATATTTTTACGGTAATCCATTTTTAATTCTATGACATATTAAAATACTTTGAGTAGGGAACAAAATTGTTGCTCTTAACTGTCATGGCAGATCAATTTGGGAAGAAATTAACAGTTTATATTGTAATGAATACTGACCAACTTAGAATTAGGGTTTGTATTACCCGTTTATTATAAACGATAATCTATAAATATTTAAAATTCATAATTAAATAATTAAACAGATGAACATGAGGAGATATGTATGATTTAAAGATTCCTATACGACGATTCATTTAAATTATACTAACATTTCATTGTAAACTTTTGTAGAATAAATTTATTAAATTTTGACTACTTTGACAGCAGGATAAACCTAGTTTCTTTTAATGGCTTATTATTACTACAATCAACAGCATTTAATTAAAAAGGACAGTGACATAGTTGAATATTATTTATTTATTTGTTTGAGTACACAAATATTGTTACAAAGGAGCACCGAATACATATGCGTCACACAAGTGTGTGTGTGTAAGCTGACACATCGCCCTCGGCCGTACTAGGGCATTTGGAGGCGGTTGCATATAGATAGGCATAATTTCTTGAAAACAGCTCACTGAATGATTTATTTAAACATGGACAACACTTAGTGTACTCCACCGATTTCACTGTAGCTTTTTGATTCCAAGCAACTTCATCATAGTTCAGTTATGTGATTATATAATTTCTTATACTGGTTATTTCCATCTTATTCGCTGTATATTCTATATTTTTTCCTGATAGATCATTTATTAGAAAAAAAACAATCTCACTTGTTTCGTTAAGTTACATACATATATTTTTAAAAGGAGATATTACGTCATTAAGAATTTGTAAGTACTTAATTCGTTATAACCAAGCTTATAAATAAAAAAATATACCACAAATTGATTGTGTACAATTATATAGAATGTTACATTAGTTACATCTGTATTAAAACACATAAAGTGTCCATTGAGCTAAGTCAACCTTTTACGGATTCTAGACATCAAGTTGAAAGCAACAACTATTTATTTGATTACAGACTATAATAATTGAGAAAATAATATTTCGGTTATTTTTAACACTATTTTAAGTGACAGAAAAGAAAATACTCTACCTTTACTAAACATTAATATTCACAAAACTAACCTCCAAATAAATTTTCTCTGCTCCTTTCTCCTAAATCTATTATTCATTCACGAATGTCTAATGTATTGTTGACTTAGCAATGTTAGACTTAACATGTTTTAAGCTAAATAAATATACTGTTTACATTATCTTACCATGGTAATTTTTTTCATGCGTTTAAACAAATATAACACTTTTTGCCAGCTTAAATGACAAGCTAAATTAATTCATTGTAATCAATCAACGAAGAATAATCTTATCCTTGTATGTATATGAGTTTATTAGCTTTGAATTATAGTAATCATTATTGTAATTAGAAATCTTTGTCTATCGATAAGAAAGTTATCATGATTACCAATAAATAGTAATAAATTTTTCTTTTTTTTTCTTTGAGTTTTCATTGAATGATATACATAGTCTCACTATTGAGGATGAAATAATATTCACATAATTCTTAACGATTTTCTTTTGTTACCGTAATTGACAAATTCAATCGATATAACGAAACAAATCAAGTTCCGTTTCTATGTGATCAATAAAAAAAAACAGAAGGCACTGTTTATCTCAATGACTATTAACAACCATTTGTATAATATGGTGTTCAAATAATAACTAGTAGAAATTTCGTTTTTTCCTTAAATTGTAATTTCATGTTTCACGAAAATGAGACCATCCAACAGATTTATATTAAAATAATAAGATTCTAATTTAAACATGCAAATTTTGACTTCCGATCAAAACAGTTTATAGTAGATCATTTTCAACCAATTAGATTACAACAATGCACTAACGAAAAGTATGTTCTTAATTACATGAGCAGATATTTTGGAACACAAGTTGATGAACCATTTATTTATTATCATTACATCTAAATGTTCATCAATAGGTGTCATGAATCACAATAACCATAGTAATAATATCAGCTTTGTATTTCTTTCTATATACAGTTATTCAATCACATAAAAATGAGAAAAAAAAATCCACATCCAATCAAAACTAAATACTTCCCATAGAATTCAACTAATCAAATCTTACGTGGAAATTCTTCGCAGCCAATTAAACAATTTTTTTCTTAGTGCTTTGTAAGTTTTCTCATGTACAAATTGTGCACATACTTGAATTACACTTAAACCAATCACTATTTCTCTAATATTATTGTATTTATAACTTGAAAATCATACTTTTTGACAGGAACAGTTACATATATATAAATGTGAAGAACAAATGAAGAGAATAAATCTCATTTCAATTATTTGTATACCATAATAATTTGGAAATGAATTTAATAAACAACAATACCAATTCGTCTTATATGTTTCAAGAACATACAAACATTTCAACTTGTTATTTCCTTTTAAATGTTACAAATTGGAACATTACAAATAATATTATAACGTGTTGTTTAACATTAGCTACAATCATTATATTTTTTGGTAATCTACTTATTATTTTATGTGTAGCTACTAGAAATAGACTTAGACGAATTTGTGATCAATATATAGCTTCCTTAGCATTAGCTGACTTTCTTGTATCAGTTTTCGTTTTACCATTTGCAATTATACGTCAAAATCTTGGTTATTGGCCATTCGAATCAGCATTTTTATGTCAATTTTATATATCCTCTGATATATTTTTGTGTATGTCATCTATCTTAAATTTATGTTGTATATCAATCGATCGATATATTGCAATCGGTTATCCATTACAATATATTACAAAAAAATCACGTCGAATATCAATTATAATGATACTAATAGCATGGTTTATACCAAGTTTTTCTATATTACCACCATTATTTGGAGTAGATAAACATGTAACTGGAGTTGGTTGTTGTTATATAAGTTATAGTAAAGAATATAGAATCTATTCATCAGTATTAGCCTATTTTCTGCCTATAATCTTAATTGGTTATGTACATTTAAGAATATTTTATATAATTAAAAGACGTTCGAAAGTATTTCATCAATTTGAAATCAATTCACAAAAACATTATAATTGGACTAATTTATCAAATTTGATATCATCGTTCAATTGTGCAAAAATAACACTTCAATTAAAAATAACGAATCATTTATCAAAACAATTTACAAAAACAAATAAATTAAATAATGATATATCTTTACTTCATTTAAATAATACTAATAGTAATGATGATGATGTAATAGATACATATTCTTATACATATAGTTGTACAAATGATTGTATCAATAGTATAGATATATATCATACAAATAAAATGGATTTACATTATGATATATCTAATGAATCAGAAATTAATGAACCAGAACCTGTTGATGCAAAATTAAAAGTTTTGCATATATTTCATATACCTATAACAGAACATGAATTAATTGAAGAATCTAAATTAGACAAAACTTTATCAAATAAACATAAACCATCAAAAATCAGATGTTTCCATGGTATTATTACAAATTTTTTAAAAATGTATAAAAATATAAAATCAATATTTTATTTATCAAAATTTCATTATTTACATAAACATCAAAATCTATCATTATTACATAATAAATTTGTTTATGAAAGAAAACATAGAAAAATGCTAAAAAAACAATATCAATTACATGAAAAATTTATATTTAATAGAGAACAAAAAACAGTTCGAACTGTCACTATAGTTATAGGATGTTTTACTATATGTTGGACACCATTTTTTATATTTTATTTAAGTGAAGCATTATGTGATTGTACATTTTCAGAGGAATTATATGCTATAGTTACTTGGTTAGGTTATTTAAATAGTATTTTTAACCCTTTTATTTATGGATTTTATAATAAAGAATATGCTAATGCATTTAAGCATATTGTACTTATGAAAGGATGTAGATAGTTATCATGTATATATGTATATCAGATTTTTAAATTATTTGAATTTTCTTTTCTTTTCTCTTTAATGTGTCGTCTAGTTATGCATAATATTGAGTCTTAATAAAAGTTTGTTGTATTAATTCAGTGAAAACAAAATAGTTTCTAACACACATATTTCATTAAAACCAGTTTTTTCTCCTTTTTTTTAGTTTCCACCTCTACGTTTCTTAATTATAAAGTACCTCATTATTAACCCTTATAAACTGTAGTATCTTGTAAATAATAAATAAATTTTGTTCAGAATAATATCATGATAGAAATACTTCAATTTGAAATAGATAAAACAGAAGTAAACTTAAATAATTATTCACCAGGTGGTAATCACTATTATATTTGTTTATTGGTTCTGAGTGATTTAGTTTAAATGGCTTGATATCATGTACATTAGCGTTCCATATTGGTTCAAAGTTTTTTATCAACTACTTTCAACCTTCTAACAACAGAAGTAGATTATTTAAATCAATTGATTTTATTTGTCAATCATAGAACTTGTGGAAGCGTTCAACAAGTATCATCTTCAACTAACATAGTTTATGAGGTCAGTGTGTTAATTTACTGTAATTATTGTAACTATTTAATCGATTAGTAGGACTTTAAAGAAATATGTTTTGAATGAATTCTCGAACCATATTGAAATAGTAACATTTAGAAGTGTTTGTCTTATCACAAGGCATAAAATAATCGATTTTGACTGACTACGTATGTTTGAATGCTCTTAAACCGCCGGATACCGTCGATTTAATTCTTTGTTTTTAAAAAATGTCTACAAATTTTTGGCACGAAATTAGCAGGTTGTAAATAATTTTCGTCGAGTGAGTTTTGAGAGATGTCATTTTGTTACTGTTGTTTAATTCTCTATGTATAAAACAACATTTTTTTCAATTGGGATTGTGGAGATTGTTGACTAGTTTTGAGAGGGGATTATGGAGGTTCTAATGAGAGGCCATGACCAATGGACTTCAACCGTGTCGGCTGTAAGGCAGTTACCCACAGAAAGACAATGAAATATGGTCGAGCAATATCGTGAGTTGGTTGAAGTTGGACATCAATACCGTTAGACGCTGGCTTAGTGGTTTGTAGGCTAGGTGGTAATGTGAAGCTGAACGTCCCTACTATGAATCCCGAGTGCAGGATCATGGACGCTCACTGCTGAGGAGTCCCATGCTAGGACGAAACGTCCGTCCAGTGCTTCCAATACACCAATGGTGGTCTAACATTGATCTGTTCATGAATTCAATAAAATATTTTCGCCACCCATTTCTGTTGTATATCAATACTATGAATGGATCTATTTGAATGAGTATTTAGGGAACTTATTCAATTAGTGTATACTTTTGAAGACTTGCTTGTATTCAAGTTGATCCTAAGCTTGTGGGAAACAGTTAAAATATTTCTGGTTGTGTAACCACCTCAAAAGTAAAATGATAATCCAACCACTAACAAAGCCAAAATACAAGTCATCTGTTTAAAATTATAGCCACAACAACACAAGAGATATTCAAATTTCTCTCCGATGATTGAACATCATCATCGTCATCACTATCAGAAGCGTTTTAGCAAATTAAACATGAATAGCTTTTTTACGTGACTGACTGTTTTTGAAGTTGTATTCGTGCAAAGAAGAATGCTATAGAGGTTAAGTGAAATGATAGACAGAACCATTTGAAGTGGACTATCATCATGATAGTCTGAAGTTGAAAATATTAGTAAAATACTGAGATTGGGATAGAGATAAAAATAAGAGGTAATTCTTCTTTGCACGGTTGTCAGATTCTGTTGATAATGGAGAAATTTTTTGATATCTCAAAATCACCATAATTATATGGGAAAAACGATAACTTAATCCTCTACGAGTCGAACTTGATATTTCCCTTGTAAACTCAAGTGAAAAAAATTGTTCTTGTTTATACTATAAGCTAATGCTGTCTACGTTTCCTGTACCTTTGCATTGCAATGATGAATAACTTTACAGAGACACAAAGACGAGGCTTATTTTCTACATAGGAGTCCTATAGGAGATACCTTAGTTCAACAACTTCAGTTAGTTGATAGTTTACAAGTTCCAAATCGGTATAATGATATACCAAGTAGGAGGATTTAAAGAGCGTTTTCTCTGTGATTTGTTTACTCAAGATAACGAAAATTAATTCTGTACTTTACACAAGTGTGTTAAGTATGCATACATGAAATAATAAAAGCATTTTTTTATTTACTGAAAAAAATATTTGGAACAAAATGATTGAGCTGTATTTGCGATTACACTAGTAAACTGTATTGATGGGCGTGGTTGAATCGCCAGTAAACAGTTAGTTTATTCAAACATTCGCCTAATGTTTACAAAAATTATTTTCAAAACAATTAAGTAATAATGTATATTTGAATCATTCAACACGTACATACGAAGAAAGGTCACTTTTTAAAATTTTCGTTATTATTAAAACATTACTCTTCAAAACTTTCGTGTAAACTTGATAATAGATTTTTGGTAGAGTTTCGTCCTCTAAGTTGAATGGATCAGTCATGAGGTTTTCATTATTCTTCTGATTAATATCATCATCACGAACTTGAAGTAGAAGTGATATATTCGAACGTGATATACCTGTTGAGATATAAAATCAGAAAGATTGATTCAACAAAAAGTGCTCTTTCCGGTGAATTTATATTGAATACTTTATAAAAGCAAATAAATGCTTATTTTTTCCCAAAATGATAATAATGGTAATGATAGTAATGATAAGAATTTTACTAAACATGGCAACAGTGAGGCAAAATAATTAAAGGTACATAAACCTAATTCCTATTTAAGGAACTGATAATAATGTCGTTGTTAAGAGCTTTAAATGACTTGAACTAAATATGATCATAACAAATGTCCGACCATAGATAGCCTAGTTTACAGAGAGTATTTTATGGATGGATAATTTTTATGGCTAAGTCATTTTAAACTACAATGAAGTGGACGTATTGACAGAACATTGTTTAAGACATGGAATTTTCCAGCCTACAAGGGCTAATTTCGCTGTAAGTCCATTTTTTATTTCCAATATTTCTATTATGTGTGATATTGCTTAGCTATTAACAAAAGAGTCAGTAAAATCAATTTATGACTATTTTGATTAATTGGTTAGTGTATTTTTAGAGGGTGAGAAAATATTTTTCTTCTATTATTCTTTGTCTTTTTCCTTGTGTCTTAAAAATCTGAATGTGAGACATTAAAGAGGAAGAATGTATTTGTGAAATCTCACCGAATGAATTTTAAAGTAAATCGAACGTTTCGACTGGCAATCTGGTCCAAGCTTTCTCAAGAAAATATAATCAAACATCAAAATTATCGAATATAAATAGGTATATGATTCTCCGGTTTACTGTATACTGAATACGTTATCCAATCAACGTTAACAATGTTTAAAGTATACGAATATTCGTCAAGATTAGAACGAATAGTTTGACAAATATTGGGCGCCGAGTATAAAGAAGTCATTATATATGTAAATTATATTTGAAATAATCTCAGCGATTGAAATTTAAATAATTCCATCGTTTCGTCCAGCTAACTTGTCTGGACTTCTTCAGGGTGATAATCAAAATCAAAATCATCTAAGAATTATTTAAATTTCAATCGCTGAGATTATTTCAAATATAATTTACATATATAATGAATGTTTAAAGTAGGTATTTACATTAGTATGTAAGAGACATGTGGTGTGAAAACGAAGTTTTAAGATAACAGATTGTGTGTATACGTAAGAGGGATGAAATTTCATTCACTATATATTGTCTTCGGTCGGTGAATATTAAGAAAACATATAATTTTTATATATGATATGAATCAAAGTGTCACAGAATGCATTAAATGAAAATAAATAAACAATGATAATTTACTTATCTATCTTTTGATGGATACTTAAGCCATTAACAATCAAACGATTATTAAACTTTCCTTGTTTTGAAAATTTTTTAATACTTCACCATGTATAATAAGTTTATTATCAGTACAATTATCATACTGTAAAAATAAGTACATATATTTGCGATTGTACAGCTTTGAAAATGAATTCGCCGAAAAGAGAACTCTTCGCTGAACTAATCTTTCTTATTTAAAGATAAATAAACACGATAAAAGAATTAGTTCAAAGAGGAAGAATTTGTAATTGAAAGTTTGTATTATTTTAATGTTCCAGTCAATTTGTGGTGTGTGCTACTTATGTAGACATAAGTAGTGTATGATGTTAGTCTTGAACAGAATGTCTGGCAGCAGAGAGACAAGAAGATCGAACAGTAAAGAATGGAGACAGAATGCAATTTGTATGAAAATGCAAGAACAATGAAGTCCAAGTCGTTTGAGACAACTGATGGACACTGCAAATTGAGCATTTATTATATGGTTGTTAGATTTTGTTAACAAGTTCTGTAATTTATTGTCAAATACGTTCGACTGTCCTCACCCATGTTCTGTTCATAACAAATTGTTTAACATATTCAGATAAGATAACTGATTTGATCCGTTCAATGTAATATCTGTTAATTAGTTAATATGATATAGATAGAATGGAATAAGGAGTTGAGGTTTACTTATTAATTATTAGTTGCCGTGGGACAGCTAGTTGTATTCCATCTCTCCTATTAATACTGTTTGGGTTAGCCCATATATGTAGGGCTTCGTCTGTTATTCTTTCTTTGTAATAATTAAAACCTTTTTGAAGGATTCTTGTGCCATTGAAATCAATTGTATGACCCGATTTTATCGAGTGCAATGCTATCGCCGATTTGTTCTCGAGTTTTCTTACCTCAACTGAAGATTTAGGAATGTGCTTTAAGCATAGTTTGTGTTCCTTTACCCTCACATTCAATTGCCTTGATGTTTCACCCACATACGTCGCATTACAGCCACTACATTTGATTTCATAAACACAATTCTGTTGTTCTGCCTTGTGTACTGGATCCTTGATTCTTACTATAGTGAATGAAATTTTATCCCACTTACGTATTCACACAATCTGTTATCTTAACACTTCGTTTTCACACCACATGTCTCTTACACACTAATGTAAATACCTACTTTAAACATTGTTAACGTTGATTGGATAACGTATTCAGTATACAGTAAACCGGAGAATCATATACCTATTATATTCGATAATTTTGATGTTTGATTATATTTTCTTGAGAAAGCTTGGACCAGATTGCCAGTCGAAACGTTCGATTTACTTTAAAATTCATTCGGTGAGATTTCACAAATACATTCTTCCTCTTTAATGTCTCACATTAACTCGGCACCCAAATACTGTGAAACTATTCGATTGAATTTAGACGAAAGTTCATATTTACTAAAAGAATACAGT